AAAAAAAAAAAAAAAAAAACAAGAGCAAGGAATATTCTTAGGAAAGCTGAAAACATTTACAGGAAAGGGAAAATGATCACAGAAAAATACTATCTTCATGAGACTTGCCCATGGAGCAGAGGTCAGCGGACCTGCAGCAGCAGAGACTGAGCTGCTGGAGGTTACGGAAAACTCCAAGGTACCTTGTGCCACAGCTTCTCCAGTCGGGGGTCGTCCAATGCGTCCTCCTGGCTGCCGTCTCTGAGGGAGTTGCTTTCCACCTGCGGAGTGTCTTTCTTTCCATCCAGACCATACTTGGCCAAGATGACTGGGAGAGAAGGGAGGCTATTTAACATGGTTTCCTCTGAGAAACAGGGGCCAACACATCTCTACTCTTAGAAGGGCTGAGACAGGCTTGCTTCTCACTTTCTAGAAGGGAGGTAATTTCAGACTCTACCCAGGTAATTTCCTTTCACCCAGTTCTATGGATGACCATTCAAGGTCTGGTGGAAATAGCTACTTGGCCTCTCTGAGCCTTTCAAATAGGGATCCCAGTATCAGAGTTTGAAGCAGTAGCTGTCCTGTCGTCAGACTCGCTCGCTTCCTGGACTCTGCAAACAGCAACCTGTGTCACCGTGCTAAACTTACATCACCTGGTGTGATGGCTGACGTCTGAGGCGTCGTGTGGGAAGCGTTAGGCCACAGCAGACTCCAGGCATGGCTGGGGCTTCATGGCCACTTTCAAGCAGTAACAACTGCAGTGGCAACAGCCACTGTCACAAGCCCCCAGCAGTAACCATGTCCCACAAGCCAGGAGGAAGGATGGGGCACAGGTTGCACAGTGCACCCAGGTCACAAAAGGGGCAAGGGCTAAAGGGGTGCTATGGTTGGGCCATCAGGAGGCACCGGGTTGAGACGGAGCCTGATGGTGCCTCCTCTGCGCTCTAGCACGCAGATGGGAGGAAGGTCATCAGCCAAGAGGATGGCTCCCGAAGCCCCACTGACCCAGGCCCCACAGGGCAGCGCACAGGGTTCCCACCCAACAGCTGAGAGGGAGTGGCGGACGGCAGAGGAGGGGCCGGAAAAGAAGTCACAACTTTGCTTTTTTCTTTTTTTGAGACAGAGTCTCACTATGTCACCCTTGGTAAAGTGCCGTGACATCACAGCTCACAGCAACCTCTAACTCTTGGGCTTAAGCGATTCTCTTGCCTCAGCTTCCCAAGTAGCTGGAACTACAGGTGCCTGCCACAATGCCTGGCTGCTTTTTTGTTGCAGTTGTTTAGCTGGCCCAGGCCAGGTTTGAACCTGCCACCTTCAGTGTATGTGGCTGGTGCCGTAACCACTGTGCTACGGGTGCTGAGCCACAACTTTGACTTTAAAAGACGTCTTTCTTGGCCAGCAGGGATGGTTGCTCCCACCTGTGATCCTCAGCACTTCAAGTCCAAGGCGGGCACATTGCCTAAGCTCAGGAGTACAAGACCAACCTGAGCAAGGAGTGACCCGACTCTACTAAAAACAAACAAACAAAAAAAACTGAGAGAAAGGCATGGTGGCTCACGCCTGTAATCCCACCATTCTGGGAAGCCTCAGTGGGTGGATCATCTGAGCTCACAGGATCGAGGCTAGCCTGAGCCAGAGGGAGACTTTGTCTCTAAAAATAGCTGGGCATTGTGGCAGGTGCCTGTAGTCCTAGCTACGCAGGAGGCTGAGGCAAAAAAATTGCTTGAGCCCAAGAGTTAGAGGTTGCTATGAGCTATGATACCACATCAGTCTACAAAGGGTGACAAAGTGAGACTGCCTCAAAAAGAAACTGAGGCAAAAGGATCACTGGAGCTCAGGAGTTGAGGTTGCTGTGATATCACAGCACTCTACCGAGGGTGACAAAGTAAGACTGTCCAAAAAAACCCAACCAACCATACAAACAAACAAACAGAAAACCTCTTGGCCTGAGATCACATGTATCTTCTACATATCAGGGACCGGAGGGACCCAGCAGCTCACCCACTGCATCACAACCGTCTACTCTGACATCAGAAAGCTATTTTCACATCAAAACCTGTGGGCTCATGCCTGCCCCTCCTCCGGGCAGCTGAGCACTCTGCTGCCCTGGCTCTCCCTCTGTGGTTTGCCAACCACACAGAGGCTGAGGCCAATGTCAAGGGGGCCCCGTCCTTGGAGCCAAGCCACCAAACAGGCACCCCTCTGTGGCCCCCTCCTCATCCTGGCCAAGAACTGAGAAGCAGCACAGAGGCCAGGCAGCTGTTTCCCTGCACATAGGCCAAGCACCTCTAATCTGAAACTTTCTGAGCACTGACATTATGCCTGAGGGAAATGCTCAAGCATTTAGGATTTCTGGATTAGGGACACTGAACCAGTACGTGTAACAATGCAAATATTACAAAATCTGAAAAAAATCCACAATCTGAGGCACTCTGGGTCGGCTTTTCCGATAAAGGATGTTCAGCCTGCACTAAGGAACAGGGTACCGTTGAGGTTTCGTCGGAGTCTCGCCTCTTTTTCCCCATCTTCGTCTAAGCCTTCCACCTTCAGTTTCTTCCAGGCCAGTTCATCCCTTTCCTGCATCTTCAGATCAGCGTGGAGCTCAGCCAGCTTCACGGGAGCAAGATGGAGCTGCTAGGCGAGAAGAGACAGTCTGTGACCACCAACTGCAGAGCAGGCCCCATATACAGCACGGGGAACTGACCTGAGGCAGTGATGACCAGGAGATAATAGCAGGAGACCAGGAGGAAGCAGAAATAGGAAGGCTGACCACAAGATTAAAAATCTCATATGCTCACGGGCCAGAACACCAAAACATGGCCAGCCTTCACACCAAGGCCACCCCCAGACCCAACTAAAGTCACAGCCTGGAATCCCAGGTGCATTAGGGCACCACTTCCCTCTTGGCAGCTGCCAGTTCTCCAGCTGCCCGTGGCTGACTCCTGTGACAGACATCCTGCCCTTCCCACCCTGCCACCTGGTGACATTCACCTGGCACTCGGGCAAGCAGGGGAGGAAGGACGTAGGGGCCCAGACGACGGGCTGAGTGAAGATGCCTAGACACACTGTCCACAGAAGAGAAACTAAAGCCACCAGAGGGCAGAAGGCTGAATTTACAGAAAACTTCTAAATATGTTTTCTTCATTTTATCTAATAAAAAACAAAACCAAGCACAGCCACAGTCAATGCCCCCAGGACAGTGGCTGCTGCTAAGGCATCAGACCCACAGAGAGCACAGCCCTGGGCACCCTGCCCTCCAGAAGGTTGGTGTGGACACCCTGCCCTCCAGGTCAACGTGGAAGCACTGTCCCCGCCCACCACACACTGGAGCTCATGGTCCCAGACAAAGGGCAAACAGCAGAGATTCCTAAAAGTCCTTTATTAAAAAACCACTGCAATTTCAGGTTTGTCCTGTCTTCACTGCCCAAGGACCTTTACTCTGAAGTGTACCACGACCTCTAACGCCACAGGAAGACATTTTTAAAGAGACCTGGATCCTTCCATACCAGGAATGACTCTCTCTCATTCACCTGCTCAAGAACAAACCAGACAGGTATGAATCCTAAGCCTAAGCCTCTCCGTGGCCTGGCCGGCTGCCAACGTAGGGGTGAAGGCTTGTTGCTGAGGGCTTCCCCACCATGACCCATATGCCTCTCTGCAGGGCAGGTCACCTGACAGCCTTCTCCATCCCATCCCTGACCCATCCGGGTGGGGAATGACACAGGTCAGATGACTGTCAGGTTTGCTGCTCTCCAGTTGACAGAACTTAATGGCCAAGTTCCAAAGCCACACGTTAGTGTTTCCATGTCAGAACACCTGGCTCAGAATGCCACCAGGCTGAGAGAGGAGCAGAAGAACGAAAAACACCGGCCACCTCACATGGCCCTGGCTGCTCACCAGTGTGTGCTTGTGTAGACAGGGTGCTGCCATCAGTTAAGTGGGAAGAACCACGTACCTCACTTACATGGCGACACCAGCAGATCACAGGCTGGGAGCAAGGGAGTCCCACAGAGCGGTAGAGCCTGATTCCCAACAAACTTCCCAGAGGACCTACATTCTCAGAACGCATCCTAGAGGGGGAGACCTATGTCTTGCTTCCCCTGGGGCTGGTCCCCACCAGGACCTTTCTGTGGCTCTAGGAGGGCCCCCAGCTCCTGCTCCCCTGAGCTCCCATCAGGTGCACGGGCTGGATTGTGCCCCATCCCTGTGTCTCTGGTTGTGCTTGTCTCAATATGGCACGTTTCCCTTGGAGGTTCTGAATATTAATCTCTAAGTTTCATTAGGTATTTTCCAACGTAATAGACAAATACAACACAAACAAACACTCATAGTATGTGTGTTGTATATATCCATAAAAAGTTTATGCAAAAAGAGTAAATACAGTAGACCCTCCATAGCTGGCCTCCTCAAGTCGACTTAGTTTTCGTAGATGGCATGTGCACCATATATACATGTTAGTACAGCAGGCCTAGTTCCCTCTGCTGACCCCCTCTGTGTGTTGACCAGTTTGTGACTGTCCCCTGGGTGGTCACTCACAGAGGTTGTGCTGTACTGACAGGCAGCAGCTTGAGGTAAGAGCCCGCAGGCCCCTGCGTGGGCCCCATGTACCCCATACTGCCCGCAGCCCCTTCGGAGACTGGGAGGCGCAGACCTTCCACACATAGCAGGACATGAGTCCTCCTGGACTCCAACAAAGCCCACCCTCTTGGTCTGTGGCACCCCACCCTCGGGAACTCCTCAGTCCACCTGCCAGAGTCTAGGCTGAGCCCTCCCACTCCTGCAGGTCACTCCACTCTGCCGCCTGGGTCCTCAGGTCTGTGCCAGGCCTGGGGGCAAAGAGACCTCTAGATCTCAGACCCTGACCTCAAGGAACCCACGGGCAAGACCAGACAATCGGTTGGTGGCGCCTGCCAGTTCTGCCTTCTCTCCAAAGCTCACCCTGAGCCCATCCCATGCAGCTGTGCTAGCTAGAGAAACTCAGCCACAGTGGCAAGGGAATCTCACGGTAAATGGCAAACAGAGCGCACCAAGTGAATGGCAGAGCCGACAGCAGTGAAGAGCTTCTAAGTCTCCACAAGTTCCTTTGACCCTGCTCTCTGCAGCCCCACAAGTTCCTTTGACCCTGCTCTCTGCAGCCCCACTAGTTCATGCCAGCCTCCAAGAGCCCTCCTGGCACAGACTCCACTCCTACCTCACCAGGGACTGACTTCCAGGGTCCTCCCTCCCTTTAGAATCCTTGCACTCAGTGCCTCTGACACACTTCACCTCACCTGGCCCCCTGCCCAGCCTCTTTTCCCTGGAACTCCCCCCAGCCCCCACTGTGCTCTGGACACTGCTGCCCATCTGCCAGGCATTTAGCAGACTAGAGGTGCTGAGGTCCCCTACCTGGTCTCAAGCTCCCGGAGCAGGAAGAACTTGGAGGAGGTTGCTGAGCAAGACTTCTGGGCCACTCTGGCAACACAAAGCCAGAGCACAAAGCCGCCCCAGCTCCTGGGCACAATCTTAAGGCCACATTTACCCATTTTCTATTTGTGACACAAAGTCTTGGCATAGGCAGGGCTCCCTACTCCCCTGCACACAGGACTGCTGCTACTGCGGAAATTCCCACTGGGCATCTTCTCACTGTGCGGCTCACAGAAAGGGAGGCCCCGGGCATCCCTGCTGTCCAGGCACAAGTCCTGCACCACAGCAGGGGCAGCACCTGTGGGGCAGGTGCTCTGGCTCCTTCTCCAGGGTCAGTGCAGGTCAGGTGTCCTTCAACTGCCTCTTGTCGCTCCACTAGGGAGCAGATCTGAAGACCTCAGGCTATAGACAGAGCCCTGGCCCTGGACTGCTTCCTGGTGTGACCTATGTTCTTCCCTTGCCTCCTTGGCCACCTGACCTGTTGTTTCCTCCTGTCCACCCCTACCCCCCAGGCCTGGGAGGATCAAGCAAGTGATGCTGGGAAGGTGTTCGGTGAAAGGTACAATCTGGAACCCCCAGGCAAGTGTCATTGCTCCGCTCTCTATGAATCACTAACTCTCAGGTCTCAGGCCTCTGTGGTTTAAATGCTATCCCATCTCTCTCTCCAGCTGCTGCTCACTTTCCTCCAAAATGCAGCTGCTGCAAGCTTACAGCTGACAGATGCCACTCAGAGCAGCCATCAGCTCCCCTCTGAAGGACGAGGACAAGCAGGCCACATGCAAACATCAGCCCCCATGGTGGACTTCACCTCTTTAAAGTTAAATGTTAATGTATTAAGTTAGCAGAACTACTTAATGGAAACCACGTGCAAAAAAGAATCTGTCAAACATTAAATAACGAGACATTCAAATATACAGGAAGAAAGCTGACTTGTCCAGAACAGACGACCCGCCCCAGAGTTCAGCAATGGTGCTTGTGCTGGCTGCTGGCTGATCACAGACCTGAGGACCCTGTGCCACTCAGGACTTCAAGAAATCTAAGGGCAGTGCCTGTAGCTCAGTGGGTACGGTGCCGGCCACATGCACTGAGGCTGGAGGGTTCCAACCTGGCCTGGGACTGCTAAAACAACAATGACAACTGCAACACCAACAACAAAAAATGGCCAGTCGTTATGGTGGGTGCTGACAGTCCCAGCTACTTGGGGGGCTGAGGCAAAAGAGTCACCTCAGCACAAGGGCCTGAGGATGCTGTGAGCTGTGATGCCCAAGCACTCTACTGAGGGTGACTAAGTAAAACGCTGTCTCAAAAAAAAAAATACTCTCAATTCACAGAACAGTATGGCCGCAGGCAAGGGTGATGCAAGAGTGTCCAGGAGCACTCTGTGGCCGTGGGACAAGGTCCTGCTCGTGTCACATGGACCTCCCCAAGACTGCTCTGCTCTTAGCTCAGCGCCAGCCACATGCACCGAGGGTGGTGGGTTCAAGTAGGGCCCAGGCCAGCTAAACAACAATTCCAATAAAAAATAGCCAGGCGTTGTGGTGGGTGCCTGTAGCCCCAGCTACTTGGGAGGCTGAGGCAAGAGAATCGCTTAAGCCCAAGAGTTTGAGGTTGCTGTGAGCTGTGACACCATGGCACTCTACCAAGGGTGACATAGTGAAAAAAAAAAAAAAAAAAGACTGCGCTTCTCAGTATCACCAGAACCCATGGCAACTCTAAAAGGGAGAAAGTCTCAGACCTGAGGACCACAGAGGCTGCCCACGAAGCTCCCCAAGAGAAGCCTTTGCTCAGCTCCCCCAGCCCAAAGCTCCAAGACAGCCCTGAATCCTGCCACTGCTCAGGGGCCTTGCCACACAGAGGAAATGTGTCAGCACTGCCAGACTGGGCAGAAGCAACCCCAGCCCCCACCACCTAAGCATGCCTATGAAACAGGAACGGGGCGATTTCATGAGAAGTCAAGACTTAGATGTCGCAGTGGATGAAGCAATAATTCCCTGGCCCTGTCTCACAGGATGAAAGCATTTCAGTGTCTTCTCATGGCACCTGAGTCCCCAGGCCCACAAAGGCACGCCAGAAGGAAAAGACAAGGCCAAGACTTAGGCAGACTCTCTTTTACCCCAAACCTGACATACCTAAGGAGCGCAATTTTGTATTTCAAAAACAAAGAAATGCTTAATGTTTCTATCAAGCAAATTACAGAAAGGACAAAATCCTCCTGGCTGGTGAAGGAAAGTTACAAGAGGCTGAGAGCCTGGTGACAAGGGGCACTATGAAAGCCACCCTGTAAAAGCAGTATTCACCACAGGCTATGACCTGCCCCTCAGATCTGTGCAATGAGACCCCACCTTGGGACCTTAAGGCCGTCCTTGGTGGGGCAGGTAAGAAGTGGCACAAGCAATTCTCTGCCTCTGTGGATTGTCTACGACCCCTACCTCTCCCACCCAGCTCAGGACCCTGCCCTCTCAGTAGTAAAAGGTGAAGCATGAAGCCCCTCCCAGAAGAATCATAACATGACGAACAATCTTCACAATGAAAATGCCAGGTCGGGAGGCACCTGTGGCTCAGGGAGGGGGGCACCAGCTCCATATGCCACGGGTGGTGGGTTCAAGCCCAGCCCTGGCCAAAAACTGCAAAAAAATAAAAAAAAGAAAAGAAAAGAAAATGCCAGGTCACTGCAGATGGCTCACATCTGGAATCCTGCTCCCACTACCCCCTTTAGGCTTCTATTATCTAGATTCTATAAGGAAAAGCAGAAGTACTTTACCGGTCTGCCTACCAGAGTACAAGGCTCTCTGCAAGTGGGGAAGATATACAAAATATACTGAAACATAACCCCACTTTGGGAGAACTTCACATTCTGTTCAGCAAAACAAACTTGCACTACAAAATTGTAGAACTTCAGAGCTACAAGGGACCAGGAAGGCCTTGATCCAAATTGGAGGTGAGCAGCTCACCCCAGCAGAGTTACCAGCAAACAGACAGTGGAGATTCATTCAGGAGGGACATCAGCTCAGGTGTACACTGAGCACTTAAGAACATGGATGTGTGGGAGGCGCCTGTGGCTCAGTGAGTAGGGCGCCAGCCCCATATACCGAGGGTGGAGGGTTCAAACTCAGCCCCGGCCAAACT